CATAAATCTCTAATAATTCAAAATCCATAGGTCAAATTGATCTGAGGTTACCTGCATCTAGTCAACCGGTAATTTTTTTAACAAGGGAAAAAAGCTGAACAAGGACGCCCCCTGTTCATCTTTGTCGAACTATTCCTCGCAAAGACTGGTACAATATGCTTTTCCTGTCAATTGCCGGAGACAATACTCCTTGTGCCCTTCTGACTACCAGAGGAAAGGTTTTGGCCACCGGTCGTGGCATGGGAATTTTCCGGTAACAGTCGAAGCGGAATATTTTGTGAAGCTTTTTTTGTCTGTGAATTCGGTTCACAGACAATATTTTGTTTGTGCAAAACATTGTCTGTGAATCGATGTTCACAGACAAAAAAAACTTTCACAGACTTATATGTATATAAAAGTGTGTATAAGAGTGTGTACAACCATCATTTTTGTTTCCTTTTACTGCCATCTCATTCTTTGAGTCTTTTTGAGATCATAACTCATCCTGAGAACTTGATAGAAATAGAAAGTTATAAGAAAAGAGAATGCATTAAAGACAATAGACGTTTATATTTAGAAAATGTTTTGGGCATGGTGATGTTTGCTTTGTAATAGTTGTAATATACTACCACTTGTTAATTACTGTGAAGGTGAATTGAAGTTTAGGGGCATAAAATTTTTACACCATGTAGCAGGCTATGTCAGAAAATAATTACTTTACCCTAAAGTTTGAGAGTATAAAACTCTGAAATATTCTTAATTTGATATACTATAGTTGCCATGATTCATTTCGAGTAAAGGTTTAATGAATTTTAGAAAATCGGAAATATATAATTTTAAAACGATTACAATTTGGTGTAATATTGAGGTTATTCCCAAATTTTAAAAATAACGTATAAATCCCTATTTACTTAGGTGATATGACTCAGAGACAGTGCAAAGATAATATTTCACCCGGTTCTTAATTAAGTTTCTGGTTTGACTTCAGACATATTAAAAAAACAAAATTAGTTAGGGGTAAATTTTACTGTAGATTAGGTACATTGTTTAGCACTATTTTGGCACTGTTTTAGTGTAGATTTGTTTGCCAAATAAGGAAGTAGGAACTTGCTTGGGACATCTGAAAATAGGAAAGTGAGAACTTAAATACGGGACAGAGGGAGTGTATCTTAGTGCTACAAGCAAGGGCGGACTCTAATGTAAAATAAATTTGTGAGATCCCTACTTTAATGCAACTATAAATTATAAAATGTTATACTACGTAACTATTTCATTTGTGTTCGGCTTATCACAAAAATAAAACTTTAATTTTTTAAAAGATACTCCATTTGTCTCGTAATTAGGTTCCAATAAGTTAACTGACTCTATCGGTAATTAGGTTTTTTTAGTAAATAAAATTCACATATTAAAAAATGACATTAAAAGTTTAAAAGTTTTTTCAAGTCACACAAAAAAATCAAATTCAACCATCATGTCGGGTCGGGGTGGGGGATCTTCGGGTTGGGCATTCGACCTTTTGGACCAACTATTAGAAAAAGATCAAATGAATCAAAATGACCGGATGCAACTTTCTATTGCAAGTCAGATTTGACATTCCTTCCTTTTTTATTTACTTTTTTCATTTTCTTTGCTTTCAATCTTATTCGCACTTCATACAGTACATACGAATCAAATGAGTCCTGCCATATTTCTCTCTTTCATCCTTTTGTCTTTCTTTTCGTTTTCTTTTCTTTCTTTTTTATTTTTTGTCTTCCACTAGGATTTTAAGATTTCTCTTCCTTTTTTTTTTCATTCTTTTACGTCTTATATTTAAATATAGTAACATGTTGTTTGGTTCGTCTTATTCTTATTAACTATTGTTTATTCTTCTTTTATTCAAATCAGATCAGATCAGATCAGAAAAATTCAGATCAGATCAGATCAGAAAAATTCAGATCAGATCAGACCAGATCAGATCAGAAAGATTCAGATCAGATCAGATCAGAATCATTCAGACCAGATCAGAAATATTCAGATCAGAAGGATTCAGATCAGATCAGAAGCATTCAAATCAAATCAGATCAGAAAATTTCAAACATGATTTATCACTTTTATTATATAATAATAATAATAATAATAATAATAATAATAATCATAATCATAATCATAATCATAATCATAATAATATCAATAATAATAATAATAATTATAATCACCTCAATAATAATCATAATATTAATAATCATAATTATTATTATTATTATTACTCCATATTATTATAATTATTATTGTGAATATTTTTATTATTATTATTATTATTTATGTTTATTATTATACAGAGTAATTATAATTATAGTTACAATTATAATTATAGAAATAATTATAATTAAAAATATAATTACAATTATAATTATAGTTATAGTTATAATCAGTGTAGTAGGTATAAATTTTCATAAATTTAATTATAATTATAATTATTATTATAATTATTATTATTATTACTCCATATTATTATAATTATTATTGTGAATATTTTTATTATTATTATTATTATTTATGTTTATTATTATACAGAGTAATTATAATTATAGTTACAATTATAATTATAGAAATAATTATAATTAAAAATATAATTACAATTATAATTATAGTTATAGTTATAATCAGTGTAGTAGGTATAAATTTTCATAAATTTAATTATAATTATAATTATTATTATAATTATAATTAAATATTTTTAGAATTATGACTATATTTATAAATTATATTTGAATTATATTTATAATTACAATTATAATTATAATAATTATAATTATAATTAAAGAAATATTCAGATCAGATCAGAAAGATTCAGATCAGATCAGAATGATTCAGATCAAATCAGAAAGATTCAGATCAGATCAGACCAGATCAGAAAGATTTAGATCAGATCAGATCGGAAAAATTCAGATCAGATCAGAACTTAATATATTCAGATCAGAAACATTTAGATCAGACGAAGAGAACAACTTCTAACTCTTAGAAGGAGATAGATCTAAAATTCTTTTTCTGTTTTTATGACTTTTCATTAATATATAGTTTCTGTAATTTTTTATTTGTTACATTTTCCTTTGTGATAAACTTTTTATTTAAAAATACTCCTTTCGTCCTGTAAAATTTCTCCTTGTTTGACTTGGAATGAAGTATAAAAAACGTGAATAAAGTAAAATTGAATGATCATGATTAAGTAAGAAAAATGTAAACGGATGGTAGCCACACCTAACTTTCCAAAAAAGAAAATGGGAATTTTTTGGAACATTCGAAAAAGGTAAGCGGGAAGGATTTTACTATGCGAATGAGGTACTTAATTATTATTACTTTTTCTACTTTTCATATTTTATTTCATATTTGTCCACTCTCTCCTACTTTTCCAACACTATTTACTATTCTTGAATTTTTTTTTCTCAAATATTGTGTCAACTCATGTGATATTTGTTACAATAAAAAGATCATAAAATGTGATGATACTTTTCATTAGTATATAAAAAAATGTCTCGATCAGTTAGGGTACATACAAAAATACGGATCGTCGGCACCCCCCACATACATGGAAATGTATGAGGGCCAGATTTTTTTTTATTCCAGGGGATCTGGGGGAGGGGGGCTGGAGGAAGCCTACAGTAATCAAGGTTGAAACTCACTCCATTGAGTTTCACACCCTTATGTGCCTAGCGGGATTCGAACTCGAGACCTCTTACTAGGCACGGTAACCTCACTACCAGCTGGGCTGGAATGCTTGATTATGTATGAGGGCCAGATATAGAAAATAATTAAGCAACTAAAGTCGTGAATTCTCCCATAAAAAATCATTTTTATGTCGAGCTCCAATTCAAATCAATTGCTTCGTAACAATATTTTTGATAAATGATTTTTCGTAAATATTTTTCAAGTACCAGTGTACCACTATTGTTCTTCATTGTAATCTCATACTTCCTCAATTTATCGCTATAAAGTTATACTTTTGATTGATACTTGTTGGGTTTATAAGTTAGGATTTCTGTTGTACGAAAGTGCATAACAGTACATCATAAAATGTGCACAAATTTTGAAAAAATTAGCAATCTTTTTTAAGTCTTATGAGTGCACTTTTATTCATCTAATATCCACTTTGTACTATAAACGTTTGCACATTATTTGAGTCTGTATCTTGTGATTAAAGTTTATCTAATCCATCCATTTAGAAGTGATTAAAGGTTAAGATTTGTTCTCACTTTCCGTAGAAAGACTACTTTTTACTTGAACCTTTCCCTATATATAGGGGGGAGAGAGAGATGGCGGATTAGATGAGAAGTGCTTCTAGGCTATAACAAATAAAAAATTACAGAGAGTATATATTAATGAAATGTCATAAAAATAGAAAAAGAATTTTAGATCTATCTCCTTCTAAGAGTTCCAAGATTTAAATATGAGACGTAAAAGAAGAAAAAGAATGGAAGAGAAATCTGTAAATCCTAATGGAAGACAAAAAAATTAAAAAGAAAGAAAAGAAAACGAAAATAAAGTCAAAAGGAAGAAACAGAGAAAGATGGCAGGACTCCTTTGATTCGTATGTAATGTATAATACGAAGTATAATGTATGAAGTACGCATAAGATCGAAAGAAAAGTAAATGAAATGAACGTCAAATCTGACTTGCAATTGAAAGTTGCATCCGGTCATTTTGATTCATTTGATCTTTTTCTAACGGTAAATGTATGTATGTGATGCTTTTTTTAGTAGAGAGGTTGGGATGATGTTTTTGGTACAGTAGGAGGGTGTATTTGACCATTTTTTCATAAATTTTTCATCTTCGAAAATCATCTTCCCTAAAAGTCTACTAGGGATGTCCTCAACATGAATTTATTTGAGTTTAGATTTCCATTAAATTCGGGTATCCTCGATATAGATTTCTAAAGAATCTATTAAAATTCGGGTGTCCTCAAACCATCCATGGACTTTTATGTCAATGGACTTTGAAAGATTTTAAGGGACTTTTAGACCAAAATATTGAATAACCCAGTTCACCAACAATTTCCAAATCCACCTGCCCACGCTATTCCGATCTCTCTGGCAGAATATTGATCGACGCACCTTCTTCATCCCTGGGTGTTCTCTTCCAACTACACTCATCTTCTTCATCCTTCAAGTGTTCTCCAGGTATGGTTTTCTCCAGATTTTTATGTCATTCTCATGTTCTCATGTATTCATCTGCCTATTGGGCGAGCAGGCATGCAAGCTTCTGATTGTACATAATTCTGAATGCCGATGCCTCTCTGTTGTACAAATTTATTCATGATATTTGTATGTTACTCCGTATATATTCATCTGCCTAATGCTTGCTTTCTTTGCTATGTGGGTTTGTAAGTTTGGCTTTTTTTGTTACATGTTCGTATTTTTACTATATACATATGAGTGGTCATGTTTTTCAATTGTGTGCTTTGATCAAATATACTTTGCTATATTTCAATTTTAGGGGTTTCCTTAAATATCACTTGATTGAAGCCAACTTATCGTTAACGTTTTCCAATGAATTTTGAAAAAATGAAAAAAAAAACGAATAAATTTTTTATCAAAATGTTTTGACGACTTTTCTGACGGCAGTTTGCAACGGTTGAGCAGTTGTGGGGGCTGGGAACTAGGGCAGCGGTTTGCACCGACTTGTATTTCAAATCTATTAATGAGATTGCTTTGTATTTGACTTATAACGTTGATTTTGAAGAAGATGATGAATTTGACGTTCTAAACTGGTGGAAGGGAAAAGAAAGAATGTTCCCTGTTTTAGCAAAGATGACTAAGCAAGTGCTATCAATGCCGGTTTTAGCAAACAGTTGCCGTGGAACAAGAATTCAGTTCGCCGGCAACGTCCTTACGCAATCTAGAACGAGCTTGAGCGCAGAATCTCTTGAGACGCTTATATGCTACCACGATTGGTTGAAGGCGGCCTGTAGAGCTCAAGAAATGAGCATCACTCATTCCCAACACTTTATGGATGAATCAACAACCGATGGTGGCTCTACCTATGTCGGAGATTCCGATTGATTAGTATTTGAAAATTTATTATAAAATGTATTTCATATTTTTAATTTATCCTTCAATTCTCAATTGTAATTTGTAAAGGGGTTTGTCCTCAAATAATACTAATTAAAACCATTTGGACAAAAAGAGACTTTTCTTTTAAGTTCCAAAAATAAGACTGAATAATACTTAAGGGACTGTTACACCCTTGCTCAGCCCAAACCCACTGGCCTGCTACAGTGACCCGTCATAGTGACCAAATGTGCAGTGACCAATGTTACAGTTACCAATGGCATAGTTACAAAATTCATCCAGTGACAAAAAATTAATACGTCCCACCAATGACCCGCATCACAGTGACCAAATGTGCAGTGACCTTTGTCCAGTGACCAATTGACAAAGTGACATCTGCTCGGTGATCAATTTTTATAGTGATTCCCGTGCAGTGACCACCACCACAATGACCATCGTCTACCAGTTACAGTTATCCGACCCGTCCAATTACAGTCACTCGATTCGTCCAGTTACAATTACCCGACCCGTCCAGTTACAGTTATCTGACCCGTCCAGTTACCCGATCCGCAAATTATTGTTTACTAATTTTGATCAATTATAATTACTTAATCAGATCAATTACTGTTACCAGTTCCATCATTTAAAGTTACAGACCCGTTGAACAGATACTATATTGATTAGAAAGAATTGTCCCAAAAAAAAAGTTACGGACCTACACCCCGGCACCAGTGACCACCACCTACGGCCACAGCCAACGATCACCACCACCAACCAACAGACCCCAGCCCCTACCGTGTCACCCCTGCCCCCAACCAACATTCCCCACCCCACAATAGCCTCCACCCATCACAGCAGCCCCCAACCACCCTCCCCTAGCCCTTGCACAACTGCATCGCACCACACCCCACCCAGAGCCGTCGCACCATCGCACACTCTACTCCCACACAACCACTAGCCCGTCACGGCCAAGCCACTTCAGCCACCGCAGGTCACCCTTAGCCTCTATCACCGCCATCAGCGGTGTACATGCGTAGATCTATTGAGGATGAAGGATCCAGCAACGACGGCGGCCATTAAGGAAGTCTGAAGCAGCAACGCCGTCCATCGATCTTCGTTGCTGGTCGATTTCAGATGCCCTGATGAAGGAGAAGAATGAAGATGTAGCGGCGGGGTAGGGAAAACGGCAGTGAACGCAGAAGAAATAGAAGAAAGCGAAATCGATTGAAGACTCGAAGGTGCTGCTTGCGGTCGAGGAGGCCGAGATGGAGATTCGAAGGTGGGAGTTGTGATGGAGGATGGGTGCGCAGCAGTGGAGATTGAGATTTACGAATGGAATTGGGTCGAGGAGCGAAGATCGGAAAGGTACATACGAAGGATTAGCTAATGGGAAATTGTGTGGGGAAGGGTAATTTAGTCTCTTTGCTTCAAGATTAGTTCTATTTCTGTCCAATGGGATAACCGTTCATATTTATGTCTTTAAGCACCGCATGAGTATTATTGTGGTCATTGTTTCATTTGTAAACTTGTAGTTCATATTTCAAATAAATATACGTTCATTTTTTTATATGTAGCACTTCTCAAATTAATTATTTGATTATTAATTATTTAATTATATTATTATTTATTAGAAAATGTATTTCATATTTTTTTACTCAATTCTCAAATGTAGTTCCTATTTCAAATAAATGCACTTGAAGTTTGTTTTTAATATTCATCACTTGTATGAATAAGTAGCAAAATAGGGGGGAAATTATACCTGACCCGACCCGGCCCGTGACCCAGGCGGGTGGCCCGGCCCGAACCGGAACCGGCCGAAGGATGGGCCAGTCTCGGGACCACGTATATGGAACTGGCGGCCCGACCGGGCCTAGGCCCGGTCCGGGCCCGGACCCGACCCGAGTTCAGCACTAGTAGATGTCCACACTGATGGTTTCATGCATATATCTATCTATTCATATGCAAGTTGTTAAATGCCAGAATGTCCATTGTAAACTGCATACAAGACAACCTAGCATGCTTCAATAACCAAAAGATTGTTTGTGTGCAACAAGAAATTGAAGACCCTAGATTACATTACTGAACTAATATAATGACATGAACCAAGAAAGGCACATCTTAACTTATGATCATAATCTTAAAGATCATAACTTGCTCCTTTTAATAGGTCCCATCTCCTTCACCTTCGCCCTTAACAAATGCTTCTGTATTTTTCCAGTCGCTGTTTTCGGCAACAGCCCAAATATCACCGATTTAGGAAACCAAATATCACTAGTCAGCCGTTCTTGATCAGTGGTGTTTTTAATCTCCGGCTTATGGGTCACAAACGCACAAGGTGGTTCACCGCACTGCTCATCAGGCCTTGCCAGTTGCCTACACTTCGAGTATAGCCGGGAGTTTATACAAAATATTTTTCACTTCAACACTACTAATACTCTCGCCGCCGGGTATGATTATATCCTTCAACCTATCCTTAATCTCTACATAACCATCTGGATGCTTCACAGCAAGATCGCCCGAGTGATACCACTCACCAGCAAAAGCTTCCTTACTGGCTTTAGGGTTCTTCAGGTACCCTTTTCTTTCAGATTATCATATCAAAAAGTTTCCAGGAGAGTTGGCTATACTTCCAAGACACAACAACCACTTTTTCTGCAAGTCTATAACAAACCCACTCAGTTTAACGCACCATTATATCTAGACTAGTTGCAATAAAGCTCAGAGATGGTTTCTTTACCATGATCTCTCATGTGATCTGCCAAAATGTACATAACTGGGACAACTTCAATCCATTCAGCAAATGATCCATCTTCTACTCTAAAACAATGAATCTCGTTCCTTATCTCAATCCAACTACACCCAGACTCAATCTTAAGCCACTTACTTTTCATCTCTTTTCTTACTCTTGCAGCTTCATGCCACAGCCCAATGCTTGCATATAGATTAGCCAACTGCAAGTGTGTAGCCCTAGACCCCGGTTCCAGCATGAGCCTGTTTTCTGCAGCTTCAATCCCCACCTCAGCATTCCCATGAAGCCTACTGGACATTAGTAATGAACCCCATATTACACCATTCGGGCTCACACACATCTTCTTTATCATATCATGGGCCTCCTCTACCCTTCCAGCTCGTCCAAGAAGATCCACAATGCATGAAAAGTGGTCTATCCTCGGCTTCTCGTCATATAAAGCCATTGAATTGAAATAAAACCACCCTTGCTCGAATAATCCCGCATGGCGGCAAGCAGATAAAATCCCAAGAAAAGTAATGGAATCAGGTTTTACCCTTTTATCCTTCATTTGTTCAAAAAGGTCAATGGCTTGTGGTGCAAGCCCATGTTGTGCATACCCTGAAATCATAGAGTTCCATGAAACCAAATCTTTGTCGTTTATTTTCTGAAATATATAGTGAGCGTCTTCGACATCTCCACCTTTACAGTACATAGAGATAAGAGCGTTTGAGACATGAACATGAGACTCCAAACCTGTGCAAATTGTTTGGCAATGAACACTCTTAGCTTGACCAAAGCATCCACTACCCGTGCAGGCACTGAGCAAGCTGGTGAAGGTGTAGTCATTAGGCATCAATGCATGGTTCAGCATTTCCATGTACAATTTCAAACAGACATCCACCTGAAACACTTGTGAAAATCCATGGATTACTGTAGTCCATGACACCACATTCTTTATAGGCATTTCTTCAAACAGGTTGTGCGCAACCTCTAATGAGCCACATTTAGAGTATAATGATACCAAGGAGCTCCCTACATATACATTTGTTAAACACCCATTTTTCATAACCAAACAGTGGATTTGAATACCTATATTAACAGCTCTTTCAGAACAGCACACACTCAGAGCATTTGATAAAAACCCTGGGTCAGTTTTCAAGCCTTCTTTGTGAAGTCTACGTATCAATTCGATTGGATTTTCTTTACCGGAGGGGAGTAGATCGGGCTTACCTCTATCCGGTTGAAGGCATCCCTCAATAAGGCGAAGATGGTTTCCCGGTTTATTAGTGACATTGTACTTTGAAGCTCTCATAATATCAAGAAACCTTTGTGGTGATTTTTGTAGGCTTCGTATACTTGTCAACTCTTCTCGAAAACGGTGCATGAGGAGCAACAGGTGGTTTTGCAGTAGACCAGAAGCTTAAGGGAATGGTTGAAATGGTACAGATCAACCTCTCTCTTGTGATACATTTGGTGTGCTTGAAAGAATTAGCTTGAGAAGGGAATTGACTTGCCCTGTCTGCACAAAACAAAATAAATTGTTAAATAAACTACCTAACATTCTGAAGTTCATTGTTTACTACTTAAATTATTTATCTACAAAAAGTAATTTGTTAATTTTTCTGAATGAATCTGACAAATGGAGCAAGATATATCAGTTTCTAAAATGTGTAAGTTTATAAACCCAAAAAATGCCAAATTACCAAACTACCATGTTTTTAGGCCTTTCACTAATCCTGGGTTGTCTCACATTGCAATGAAGCAAGAGATAATACTACGTAATTTTTTCACAAGAAAATCTCCACCACCACCAGATGAACCAAATAATGTAATTCAAGAGAATAGCACACTGGTTGGGTAAAGAAATGGAACCTTCAGATTACAAATTATGACATTTTCATAAGAAATTGTAGTATTATAAGATAAAATGATATCAAAACCAAAACGTAAAAATATTAGAAAAGAGAGGTAAAAAAGTCAGAAGTAACATTGTCATTTTGAGAAGCTCGTGTCATAAAGAATTTCATGTGGGTACAAAATATTGCATTATAACTATGGTTTATTCAAACTAATATTGTCATCTTGATAAATGTAGTTTCATAAAAGCGGAATTAATTACTTTCAAAATAATTTCGGAAAAAGAAATTAAAATATGACATATTTCAAGATCCAAAATGATCGGAAAAAGAAAAAAGTAACACGGAGTATAAATGTTTTAAAATAAATTAACCAAAATCGATTAAAAGGAAGTAAGAATGAAATAACATAAAAATTCCGATTACCGGTCGGTCATGTGCAAAATAGTTTTTCTTATACACAGAACTAGCGGCGTATTGACTTCGTGCGAGTTGTGCCCAATGCGGAGAGAATCAATTATTATATTACACATGTTTAATTAATATGATAGATATGAATGAATATGCATATTTTAATTTTGCATAGAATGTGTAGATGAAAGAGTAATATGCATTTGGTTCAAGGATAATATGCTAGTTCAGAATTTGAAAGAAAATAAATACGGTCAACAAGTAGAAAAATATAATTTTTGAAACAGAGAAACAAGGCTGTAAGCACCAGAAGACATTTCATTATGTGTGAAAACACATGACCCTCTCAAATGTTAATCAACAGGCCAATCTTTCCTCTATAAACATGTGGCAACTGTTAGGAACTATCATGATACTACTATACACTTATTGGGTAAGAATATTGGTATATATTTTAATCAAAGAGTAACTTGTAATCATACCACTGCTCTTTGTGTAGATCTTTTTCCCCTTACCATACGCATGAATAAGAAAACCAGTGACTAAAATGTGAATTTGACAAGCTAGTGTTTACATGTTCCATTTAAGTCTTAAGTAAGTACAGTTAGGAACTTTCTCAGGGGCATTTTGACAAACATTATGGAGCCATTAGTTAAGGGCAATAATTGTGACCTTTTCAGGGCACTATTATAAACTGCCATTGCAATCCAACACTCTAACCCGGACTGGAATAATAGTATGATTGTGACGCACTCATATGCAATCTAGGTTACATGTACAAAGCAATTAATTTGATTTTTTTGTTGGTTGTGAACAACAATTGTGAAATTAAAGAGAAAGTGGATGGAGTTTTCTAGAGTCTACAGTAATGCTATTTTATTATGTTTATGAGTTATTTGGAAGAGCAAGTTCATGCATGATTACAAAGTGCATAATATGCAGCCATATTTGGCGATGGTTAAATTGCAAATGATTAACTTGCAAGTGAATTTTCAAGACAATGAAGTTATTTAAAATGTAAAAGAAGTTGATGAATCAAAAGGTACAGAGAGAATACCTCTTATTTGGCGGAGTGCTGGAGACACATAACTGTATAAGCAGAGATTGTTGGCAGTTGTTGAAGCGTTGGCGGTTTATGGTTGCATAACTGTAGGTCAAAGTTTGAATAGGCATGTGTAATTGATGATGCCTTTAAAGAAAGTGTTAACTTCAAATGCTTCCGTTGACGGAATAGGTCCCAAGTGCAGGGATGGATTTAAGGGGGGCGCGGGGGGCGACTGCCCCTTTGGACTTTCAAAATTTTCTACTATATATGTAATGTGTTTGTAAAATTTTGATATTTTAATTAGATTCGCCCACTTAACTTTTTATTGAACATTGCCCCCCTTAACTTTTAGTTTTTAAAATTAATATATAGTCTTACATAATGTAATACTTAATTGGAGATATAAAAAAAAATCATCTAAAATAATTTACATAAGTTAAATAAACAATAGAAGAACTCATTATTTGAGATTTAGGATACTTATTATATAAAAAATTTTAATTTTGTAATGTTTAATTATCTTTATTCGATAACTAGTAAACAATTTTGAAAAATATATATCAAACGATATTAAATATCATACACTCTGGCTACAAAGTTTTTAGATAATGTGAAGTGTAATCCAAATTATAAATGTTTATTGACATTGAATTACATTATTCATTTACTTCTTACGTTCTAAAAAAGACTTTATTGCATAGATAATAAACTTTAATTATTTTAGCATTAATACAAATATAATATGCACTATATATATGAATTAGCAATATAATATTATTCTAAAAATAATAATATCATAAATACTATTGTAATATTAAAAGAACTGTTTGTGACTTATGAACACTCATGTAGTTAAACAATGTTGAAGTTATTTTAAAAATAGTGGTGAATGTGTACCTTATAAACTCTTTATATTTAAATAAAATGTTATACTACCTCCGTTCCTATTAAAACTTCCAAATAGGTTTGGCACAGAGTTTAAGATAGTGGGTATTGTGTGGTGGAGAGTTGTGCAGAGGAGAGAGAAATGTGTAAGAAATGTTGTGAACCACAAATTTGTTACTAAAAAGGGAAAGTGGAAGTTTTAATCGGAACGGATGAAAAAGGAAAGTTGGAAGTTTATTTAGGAACGGAGGGAGTATATCCTTTTTTTATTTTTTTTTATCATTTTCCATTGATTTGTCATTTCTTATACTTTAATGTATCAATACTTTTTTCTAGAGCACTCCAATTATAAAATTTAAGTTATTTTGTCATTGTCTACACTTAGAATGTAATATATAAATTTAAATGTCGTCATGTATGTATTTATGAAATTTTTTTGAATAAAAATAGCCGCGGAGCCTTACACTAGTGAAAAATTTCGCCCGCTACACCAGAAAAAAAAAATTGCCCCGCTACAATAGTGAATTTTTTTATCTCCTACACTAACGAAAATTTTCGCCCCCCTTGACTCGAAATCCTGGATCCGTCTCTGCCCAAGTGGATGGAAAAAGAACAGAGAGTCACATTTAAAAAACCTAGCTAGTCACATTTTCGACTTAATTTAAAAACCTAAAAGTAGTATTTTTCTAATTTTTTTAATTATAATATTATAATTTTACAAGAGTCTAAATAACAAATGAAACAAATATACTAGACTAAACTGATAAGGCATCATCATATAAGACAATTTTAAAAAAATTGGGTCTCGAAACCCACTTAATTCTGAGAGGTGCCAAACAAATTTTCTATCTTAAATTAATTAATGCGTTAGACAATTAATATTATATCTTTTTTCTTTTTTGTAATGATTAATTTTCTATCGTAAAGAATATAGACATGCTTTTGGAATATAAGTACTCCCTGATGAATTTTGGTTGTGATGTCAGGGAAGCTGGTTTCTTCAAAGCTTTTGTCAGGTAACATGTGTAGTTCTCCTTTTTTAATGAGGGTTGAACTGAAATGTATAAAAAAAATCTGATTGCCTTTTAAACAGAGGTACCGAAACCTTTGAAATTTTAGAATGCACGATAGAAATTTCGATAAGGGTATTATTGCGCATAGGAGTAATATGCGTTTTCATTTTAATATTCCGTATAAACCTAGATTTTTAGGTTGAAATAACAACAGTAAAAAAGTAGGAAACAAACAAGAACAATAGGCAAATACAGTAAAATAAAGAACATCCATACAAGATGGGTACTTGGGTAGTACTGTAAGTCCATAACACTACTGATAACACCAAGCTAGTATTTAATATTAAAACTAAAACAGATCATACTTAGTAATGATTAATGGGGGTCGTCATCACAGAGTAACAAGGATTCGATAGCCTCAGCCGGTTGAGGAGGAGGAGGAGGATACCTATGGTCGATGGCGGAGCTACGGTGCGACGCCATAGCCGATGGCGGAGATGCAGTCCACAGGAGGAAGAGATGTGCAGAGCTGCTACGAAGAATTCCAGTCGATGGCGAGAATGCAGCGAGGAGTGCAGAAGGGTTAGAGCTATTTGGGGAAAAAGTGATTTAGGGATTAGGAGCAAAAAGGTAATGTGGAGTCCCATTTAGGAAATTTAAAACTTGAAGTCCTATTTTGGAGTTTGAACCATGTTTTAGTCTCATTTAATATAATTTCTTAATATAGTAATATACAACTTTTCATTTATATAGGAGTCCATCCCCAATTTTCACTGAACACGAGTATACATGAATTTTCTACCTCTAATACCTCTAATCTGGACTCCGGTGGTAGCGGGTCACTCTGTTTGTGGCGGGGCAGTCCGCTGGTGGCGGTAACGACCGGCAGCCGAGCTCCGACGAGCAGCGGCGGAGGCAGTCTAGCTTCAAAAACTACTCTTATTTTGAAAATTTTAGAAACTTAATCCTATTTTTGCCGATTCAGCCGTATTAATGGCAAAAGTTTAGAAACTTAATGCTTTTCACAATATATGAAACTATAATTATATTGCTTAAAATAGCATGTTTGCATTATAGTTATTTAATGCAGTCAGACTGCCATTGTATATTTCACAAATAGCATGTTTGCATTATAATGCTATCAGGGGCGGAGATAGGACACTGGGCCGAATTAGACCGGTACAAAGAATATTTTTTAAAAAAAATTTACATGAAATTTTTTATCTTAAAAATTAAGTCATTTTTAAAATTTGGGGTAGGCCATGGCCTAAGTTGGCCCACCCCTAGCTCCGCCCATGAATGCTATAATGGCAAAAGTCCCAAAGTGAAAAAAGCATTTGTGTATGTGTGTGTTGTGTTGGTGTGTGATAGATAATTAGATATCGTAGTATTTTGGGCTTGAACTTTGACAAATTAATAAAAAAAGTACACATTTTTGAGTGTGCATATTTACATGACTATATAAAATCATATATTGTAGATTTTAAATCCTTGACAGAGACATATTTGATCTGTTTTGCAAATTCTGCATAAGTAGACACATGAAGTAATAAAATCAAAATATATTATGTTGAAATTACTAAATATCCGTACCATAAGCTTCTACTTACTTTTTTGTTGAATGCACTTTGCACACAATGGCGGACCCAGAAAAACAAAGTCTATGAGGTCCCTGCTCTAACGTAACTCTAATTAATACTAGTATAAAATTGAGTAACCATAGTTCTTCAACCATCAATTAAAATTCGAGGGCCTCTCTTCTACAACAACCATTTTCAGATTTACATCCATAGCAAATGAAACGAACCCCTACAGCAATTAACTAGAATTTTCATTACATAATTAGAAAATGATTTTTTGCTGGCTTCTGAAGCCTGCATCATATGGTTGAATTGAAATAGTTTCCAGGTTAACATAGACTCCATCAATCACAATTAGTTTTTATAAAACAATGAATTCCTTCTGCCATTAATTCAGATTCAGCCATAATTTCCTTCGGTGGAATAACAGTTCAGATCTAGAACTCAGAAAAACTTCAGCAACAATGAAGTGACGAATTCCAAATTTTCGTCGTTATTTTTAGAAAAGCATTTGATCTGATCAGTCACATAAAATCTTGGACTATTAGATGTTTGTTTATGTGTGGTGCGGGGCAGATGAATACCTCATAAGTCTGAAAATCAAGAGTACTATTTTTTAGATAATTTTCGGATTGATCCTCCATTATACTCCCTCCGTCCCTTAAAACTTTGTCAAGTTTGACCGGCACGGGGATTAATAAAGTAAAAACTGTGTGTTTGAGGTTTGTGCACAGAAGAGAGAATGAACTGGAACTACCAATTCTTTACTTAAAAGAGAAAGTGTCAAAGTTAGTGGGATATCCAAAAAAGGAAAGTTGGCAAAGTTTTAAGAGACGGAGGGAGTATAAGAAAACTGTAAAAAGTTTATAAAAGCATTAGTAATAGGTCCATAAACATTAAAAATTAATATGAATGAACGGAGATGCTTGGTAATTAGGTAGGTGGTGCGCCTAGCACATTAGAAGTGACGTGAGCTTTAACCAAGGACAAACTTGTCCAAATTTGACAAAAAATGGGTGCGCAAAGCAATGTTGGAGGTGCACGGAGCATCACCCTAAATTTAACAATTTAATCTTAAACATTAAAACAAATTTTAACAATAATACAAAAACTTGAATTATGTAAAGTGTAATTTGTAAACCTGGGCGAGTGGTGGGCGTGTCGGACTCTCGATCTGGGCGATCCAGCGAAGGACAGGCCGCGGGCGCGCAGGTAGACAGTTCGTGCACCCGTGGTACTGTGGTTGTCTTTCGGGTGGCAAGGCGGGTCGGAACTCGGAATGTCGTGGAGGACTGGAGGCGGTCAGGCCGTCGTGCGTCTAGCTCTGAACCGGGAGACACGATTGCCAAAACGCAATTGCCAAAACGCAATTGCCAGACTATGCCGTTAGGGATCTTTTTTGAAAAAATGAGTACACAATTACACAAAGGTATAAATTTGTTTGACACTTTCACACATTATATTAAATTCAAGCTCGTAGTACAGGTAAATTACAAATAATAAAGTAAACCCTCATCACAAAAAGAGTAAGACTAATCATTGAAAATGTAAGAGCTTCGAGATTATTAGCGGTTGAATCAACCTGATTGCCTACATACAGAATTTTATCCACTAAAACAAACAAAAACATCAACCTACACCCCTTATTGTTTGTCATATAAATAACAAAATAGAAATAGTAAAACAATTTGGACTGAAAATAAAAACATTCTTCCAAATCCTAATCGCACAATTCCTTCATGGCAGCGATTCAGGAGGGGGGCGTATCATCATCTCTTCGTCTTCTTTCTCCAACACCTGAATCTGGACTTCTACGTGCCACATCGGCCATCTCTCCATCGCAAGCTGATCTCTGCCCTTCGCATCCAACAAACAACCTCAGGCGGCAACCCTCCGATTTGGCCAAAACAATCGCGTCAATCGTCCACCGAGCTGATTGGAATCCAAATTTGACCCTATCACCAAACCCCAATCCACCATTGTTCCACTCGGATCAAACACAGTTGGTGCAACTTCCATCTCAATAATCAACAAAGGCAGAATAGCCAAACCAAGCATCGGAAAAGCAAGCCTCGCAACCTTAGTTGACGCAGGTCCGCGGCCTCCTCTGAAATCGCTGACCACGATTGACATCACAACAAATCCCAACAGCACTTCCCCTTTTATTTCTTCCACTTTACTCGAGACTCATACAACAACTCGTTTGCTTCCCAACAACAGGTCCAATCGTTTGCAGGTCCGATCGTTTGCTTCCTTCAACGCCAAAACTCGAACCAGCAACTCGTCAATCTCTTGCGTCACCGACTCGGACAGACGTCGGCAAAGCCCAGAGGCCAGAACGCCGCCGCACCAAACCAACCCTAGACCAAGCTAGGGACTTCCACTTTTTTTAGAATAGCTAATATAAATTACATAGCTTGGGTATAAAATTAAAAAATAATAGTATCTGAAAAATATCGTCACCCCAACCCTCTCCTCCTCGCACTCGTAGTAAAACCGCCGCTACTGTCATCTTGTCACGACATCGGGACCTTTCGCTGAGGAAACAAGTCCGCCACCATCCAACGTCTACACCATACCCACCTCATCATCCTCCATCCTATAGGAATAAGTTTTCAAAAGTTTAATTAATCAAAATGACTTCTACTTTGTATTTATTAATTACTATTTCCTTTATAAAAAAAGTAGTCCAATTTTTTTTAGTTTCAACTCCTAATTTTTGGTAAACAAGTCAACATATATTTTAATTCATGTTCAAAACAAATTTAGCTACAATGCTTCATTTTAGCAAACGCAATATATAAATTTTCATGTTATTGAAAAGATGATAAATTCTAATTTTCAAAAATAAATCAAAACATGATGTTACTTGCATACTTCGTATAAAGCACAACTCATAACATCAAGACAAATTATCATAAACTTTGAAACAACAACCCTTGTATACTACTACCTACATTAGATGTTCATTTCGACTGACATCATTAGAAATGCCAATTAGAAACTTCAAACAACTATAATTCCTAACACTTAAAATAAGAACATATAAAGTCTCAATGATGTAATTTAAAAGAAATTATGTTGGACTCTTCTTTAAAATCACACCATAAGAAGTCGTGATAATTAGCACATAGTCTTTAGAGCTTAAAATAGCTGCATCAAACGGAACACTATAATAATTAAGAATTAGGCCGGACTTGGTATATAATAACTCTTCTCAAAGCTATAATATAGACATACCCATATTTGAAGTGAATATCATTATATGGTTACTTTTTCCATTTAAGTTTTATCTTAAATTAATTTATCTTATTACGTGTTATATTAGGTGTATATTTTTTGAATCATCGTGTGTGTTAAAATAGTAAGAATTATGTTACATTATGTTATACAAATTCTCATTAACAAAAGAGACGTGAAAAGTATTGGTGTGTAGTAAATATGATATCATTGTTGTTACTTCTGTTACTACTAATAATTTACAAAGTAGCCGTTCATGAAAAACCCATTCCAGAGTAGATGAGTAGCTTTGTGCAAATCCTTATCAGACATATATGGTATAAGAGCAATAACTTTGCTTGGTGTACACTATGGATGGACTCGGGCCGGGTGGCTCGACCCGGAACCGGCCCGGGACCGGTACTGTTCCGGCCCGGCCCGACCCCGTGGCCCGGTCAGTGACCGGTCCGGGTAGGCCCGGCCCATGGGTTTTCCGGTCCGGGCTCGGGTCACCCAAAACAAGGCCCGGGCCCGGTTCGGGCCAAAAACTATTATTTTTTTTCAATTTTTTTTAAATTTTCGGGTTGGGCTGGGTATTTTGGGCCATTTGGGGTGGTTTGGGGGGTCGGGGGTGGGAGGGGGGTTAATTAGGAAGAGGAAAACAAAAAAAATTGATAATAGGCCCGGCCCGGACCCGGATCGGACCCGGTGGTTACCCGGGCCGGTCCCGGGTCCACCATTTCTGAACCGCCGGCCCGTCCGAGCCTAGGCCCGACCCGGACCCGGCCCGGACCCGAGTCCATCCATAGTGTACACTGTACAGTACAAAAAGTGTACACCATGCATTTTTCTAAGAGCAAACAATGAGCAACATGAAGACCACTTGGGATGAACGGATATTATACGTTGATGAGTAACATATGGAGTCACCAGGAATAAAGAACAATTGGGCCGCCGATCAGCTGTCGACGAACGGACAATGACAATTGAATGGGACTGGCCGGCATCCTTTGGTTGCCCCGACGAAAGAGATGGAAGGAGAAGAAAAAGAGGTAAGGAGAAAAGAACAACAACGACAACAACAACAACAAAATATACCATGTGTACGAGTGAGTAGTACCCTGCTGAATTGGTTGATGTAGGTCACCTGTTTGTTTGGAAAAGATGCATCTTATTAATAAAACTGTATTGGAATTACCCATATTTGAGATTAATATGAGAAGACCACTAATAATTTACACTTTCTAGTACTCATGTGAATTTTTTCAAATATTAATTTAGAAACATTCACAAAGGAAAAGTTTGTAATCTACTGCTTCGTATATTCTTAAATTTGTCAAATGTGTTCATCATCTGTCGAAGAAGGTAATAATCCGTTGACCAACTTAGAGCAATGGTGAGTCCATTTCCAGATGAAACTGACAACAATCGAAATTGCTTCCATTTATTCATGAAAATTAGATACGGACTCCTCGTTTGGGAAGAACACAGTTGTCAGCAAACGATCACCGGCATCTCTTAATTGGAATGCCTAGAGGCTATATCAACATTGATCCTGAGTTTCTTTTTGTGTGCTAAAGCTACTTCTAGTTCTGCCAGTGATTTAATTCTTAGGAAAATTTTGTGCTGTATACGTCAAATCTATACGCGCCCTATTGTATGGAGCATGTATAGATTTGGGCATGTAAAAGTAGTTTTTTCGTAATTCTTAAGCCCCATAGCTGACCTTAATGAAACAGTCTCAGGTACATTAAAATTATACTCCCTCCGTTTCACAATCTTTGACACAGTTTGATTTGTCAAGATTAAGGAAAAAATGTTACTAAGGGGTAAATTTTACTGTAGAGTACACTGTTTGGCACTGTTTGAACACTGTTTAGCACTGTTTTGGTAAAAATTTGTTTACCAAATAAGGAAATAAGGAAGTGTGTCATTGATCGTGAAACAGCCAAAAAAGGAAAGTGTGTCAAAGATTATGAAACGGGAGTATTTTCTTCAACCTTAATAGTGGAATTTAACACTGATGGTTTCTTGCATTTATTACTATCTATTCATTCATATGCAAATTATTAATTGCCAGAATGTCCAAGGTAAAGTGCATAACAACCTAGCATGCTTCAATAACCAAAAGATTGTTTGTGTGCAACAAGAAATTGAAGACCCGAGATTACATTAATGAACTAATATATTGACATGAACCAGGAAAGACACATCTTAACTTATGATCATAATCTTAAAGATCATAACTTGCTCCTTTTAACGGGCCCTAGCTCCTTTGCCTTCGCCCTTAACAAATGCTTCTGTATTTTCCCAGTCGCTGTTTTCGGCAAAGGCCCAAATATCACCGATTTAGGAACCCAATATTTCGCCATCTTTGATCTACTGAAACTCATAATATCACTAGCCAGCCGTTCTTGATCAGTGGTGTTTTTAACCTCCGGCTTAAGGGTCACAAACGCACAAGGTGATTCCCCCCACTGCTCATCAGGCCTTGCCACAACTGACACTTCGAGTATAGCCGGGTGTTGATACAGAATATTTTCCACCTCAACACTACTAATATTCTCGCCGCCGGATATGATTATATCCTTCGACCTGTCCTTGATCTCAACATAACCATCCGGATGCTTCACCGCAAGATCGCCAGAGTGATACCACCCGCCTGCAAAAGCTTCCTTATTGGCTTTAGGGTTCTTCAGGTACCCTTTCATCACAAGGTTTCCTCTGAACACGATTTCCCCGATCGTCTTTCCGTCACAAGGGACAGGCTTCATGTCACTATCAGTGCTGACAATGTCAAGGTGCTCCAAGCTGACATACCGGACACCTTGGCGGGAATTTAGGCGGGCTTGGGCTTCTGGAGGGAGTAAATCCCATTCTGGCTTCCAGACACATATAGTGGAAGGCCCATAAGTTTCAGAGAGGCCGTAAGTGTGTGTGACGCGAAAACCGCGGCGGGACATTGCGGAAAGGACGGCAGGTGGTGGAGCAGCACCCGCTGTCATTACATGGACAGTGCGGGGTAGGGGGAGGATGATATCCTCTTTTGAGGCGTTCACGATAGTGTTGAGTACCACAGGGGCAGCACAGAAATGTGTCACGCCTAGGTTGGCTATGGCTGAGTAAACTGCCTTCGCTGCTACCTACATGGTTTCATGCAAAAGGAAAAACTTGGCTTATACGCATAGACATATATCATCAAACGTTTACTTCAACTACTACTCTACTGTTACATCATTTCCATTTTTAGTGTCATACATTTAGTTTCTCCAGATTGGATGCACATGCATGAGTATAGATTTATGGTCACCTCTGGTCATTCCAGGTTCAGACTGCTTATCCGTCAAAAGTCAACTGAAAACCGTGTACAAATTGGCAGGCTGAATAAGTAATTGAAACTTGAAAGGACCAAATTAAATGTAGAGAAAAAACATAGTCGTTCATGAAATGGAAAGTTGAAAGTTCTGGACCGAAAGTGGAAAGATGTCAAGGACAAATAGTGGGAAAATTAAAACTTATATAATCAGTACAGGATAATATTTCATGAATCCAGGCAGCTTATCATCGGGACTTTCATTTAGACTGTCTGAAAATAACTTTGGGAGGAATGGAAACCTTTAACTTTGGGGGGAAAAATGGGGTACATTTTGGGGTACCTTTAGCATTTGTGAACCAATTATACACAAGTCACTCATGTGTGTAGCCTTTTGTGAAATTTCTTTCCGTTGTATAAAAAAAAATAGTCTTTTGTGAAATGCAACTATTCACTATCTATTTATTTCAAAAGTACTACATAGTTGAAATTCTCCATATTCACGAGCATAAGACCACATTCGGAAAGTTCTAAATTTGGCTAAAACTTCAGCCGAGATGGCAGAATTATTTTTTAAATATTTTTCAATAATTATATTCTGATAATACGGAGTATAAACATCAGGATAGGATAAAGTGTCATTTTAGTCGTGTCATGCAGTCGAACAAAGTTAGAAAATGCTGCAAAAGATGGGGATATGTAAAGCTCTCCAAAATCCATTACTATGTATCAATCAAACCATGGAAGGTATGTCCAGTTGAAAGTAATAAGGTACAAAAAGTCAATAACTACTTTCTTCGATATGCAAAAGAGAATGAGTTGAGGGACAAAATTACCTGTCTAAGACAAATGCTTGTCCCACAGATAGCAGCAAGGGTCCAAGGGAAACACCAACCATTGCAGTGGAACATGGGCAAAGTCCAAAGGTATACAGCTCCCTCGTTCATGTTCCACACAACAGCGTTACTAAGGGCCATAAGATAAGCTCCTCTATGGTGAAGCACGACTCCTTTAGGACTAGCAGTTGTTCCAGAAGTGTACCCTAAAGAAATACTATGCCATTCATCCTGAGGTGGTTTCCACTCATAGTCAGGGTCACCGGTTTCCAGGAACTTTTCATACTCTATAGCTCCTTTCCCCAGAGCATATTGAACAGGCTTTGAATCACAGTTGATATCGGAAATAACAATCATTAGTGGAGGTGGGAAATTCCCTCTAGTGTTGTTTGATAAAATGCTTAGAGCCTCCTCTGCTAGATTATAATAATCTTGGTCCACCATTATAACGGATGCCAATGAATGCCCTAACAAAAAGGCAACTGTTTCGGCATTTAAACGGATATTGACAGCATTCACAACGGCGCCAGTCATTGGGATTCCAAAATGGGCTTCATACAAGGCAGGGACATTTGGTGCTATCACTGCTACCTGACATGGACAAGAATGACTGTAAGAAATACGATTCTCAAAAATCCTATTGAATGTCAATCAAGTACAACACATCTATGAGATTTGAGTCATTTTACATGAAGGGCACCCACTCGCATCATCCCGATCAAGTATGTTGGATTACACTTTTGAAATCTCTGAAGTGCTATTGATTCTGTTTTTCTAATATTATTATACTTCGTATGACATAGTACTTTCTGAAAGCTTCTAAAAGTCAGTTCGGCAAGTGCTAATAAGAGTTGATTGCTGCCTGAATGTAACTTTCAGTTTTCAGAGAAAATTGCATAGATAGATCTAAGACATAATGCATTTCTACAAATACGGCCATTATTGTTTTTTCCAGGAAACAGGACTCAAACTGTCCTAGAAAAAGAACTATTAACTTTCAATCTTTCTTTAAGAGTTAGTAAATCTTTTTTTTAGTAAAAATAAGAATGGCCCTACTTGAGCACATAATACATTCTGTATTCTTAGCAATTTTATTTTGAACCCCTTTCACTTGTTTTTCATTCTCTTGGTCACGTTTGAGTTAATACCCATACAAATTTTACTCTCACAGACAGTCAGCCTAAATAACTTTTGGTACTTAGTACGGAGTATTTAATTAAGCTAACTTCTGGTGAAGTAAAGTTTAAAATTGGGTAAAGCCGTAAAGCAGCAAATAAGCCCTCGAACTAACTTAAAAAGTGCAAATCACCCCTTTTATAGGAGGCTCTGCCTCGCCGTCGCCATTTAGGGCGGTTTCCGGTGGAAGTTTTTGATGAAATTTTTTTAAGATCTTTTTAATTAAGTCTAGTTTACCCATACCAAATTTCAGCTAAAAATTCAATCGGGAAGGAAGTCAAATAAAACTTTGAAGATAACTGCGCAGTTAAACAGCGCAGTATATTTCAGAAAATCATTTGACTACCTTGCCGGTTGAATTTTTAAATGAAATTTGGTATGGATAAACTAGACTTAATGAAGAAGATGCTCAAAAACTTTCAATCACAAAATTCCACCGGGAACCGCCCCAAATGGCGATGGCCGGACAGAGCCTCCTATAAAAGGGGTGATTTGCACTTTTTAAGTTAATTCGAGGGCTTATTTGCTACTTCTCCCTTTAAAATTTGACAAAAGTTAGTTATTAAATATTGGCAATTTAATCCACAAATTTAATTAAACTAACTTCTGTCTTTCCAGAGCTTTATTAACTGAAAAGTAGCTTCATTAATAAATTCTCTAATAATTTATTAAAACAAAGTTTTGCACAACAAAAACCAATAGATAATATAGACCAGAAGAGTTTACAAACAAAATCTAAGCCAACATGTTAAATAGTAAATACTACAAGAATTGAAAACAAATGTCAAGCTTAAAGCACAAAAAATGTTCTCTGAATGAGACAATAAAAATGTTTTCCTCTGCGAAACAGACATATTGTACTATACTCTTATTTCTCATTTCCAGATTCCTATCAGATTATTTCTTTGTTCTCATATCATGGTGAATGAACTTGAGGTACATATCCATAAATCATTCTTACAAACATCAACCATCTGAGGGTAGAAGATACTTCCACAATTCCCTATTCATATCTGAATGCATAAACACTTTTCAGCGATTCTCTTCTGAATTTATAAACTCTTTCCTAATTCATGAATCTTCACACAATCACACTAGGTTCTTTCTATCAATAAGTGCTTGTTTTAGTCGAACTCTTCTACTAATCTTAATATGAAACTTGAGAACTTGTTGCTTAAAGGTACTATTGCATCTTGATTCCTAGCTTTCTTCAAAAAGTATATCCACAAACTGATAAAGAAATGCATTCCCTCATACATCAGAGATCACAGATTGACACAAATGGGTAACTAAGTTAGAAAATCGGAAGGTGACAGAATTCATCTCACAGTTGAGTGTATCCTACCCACCCACTTAAAAAGAAAAAAGAAACAGAACAAAAGAAAGATTGTGTATGCTTGGTATCAAATAATTACTTTGGATTTAAAAACACGATGAAACATTTGATCTGTATTCTTTTTTATAAAAAGATGCAATATTTGCTCAGATTTATATACAAAGAAGTAAGAAACTAAGAACCAACAAGAATCATTCGTCAAACTCAGCTTAGCAGAGTTAGCCGCCTCAGGGCTCAGATACAGGGCACTCATTTTCATTTTCTGTATTCTTTTTATAAAAAGATGCAATCTTTGCTCAGATTTATATAAAAAGAAGTAAGAAACTAAGAACCAACAAGAATCATTCGTCAAACTCAGCTTAGCAGAGTTAGCCGCCTCAGGGCTCAGATACAGGGCACTCATTTTCATTTTCAGTGACCCAGATTACTTATACAGTTATACACATATTTGATGTCTACATTTATAGAGAATTACAGAACTGTCCCTACTGAAGGATAGAGTTAGCGTGATGTACCGTGGTCCCAAAGGTGACGGAGCGTTTGACGAGAGCGGAGGCTAAACGGCGGCAGCGCTGGTAAGTGTGGAGCCACGTGTACTGAACCGAGCCGTGGACCAGCGATTTCCGGTGAGGGTGCACCGCCGCCGCCCTGTCCAGGAACCAGAGTGGCGTCAGCGCCGTGTAGTTGGCTGCGTTCTTCGGAAGATCGTCAATGTCTCTCTCCATAACTGATGACTATCTCTCTCTGAAACACAAGAAGATGGGCAGAGGATTTTTGGCAGCTCAGGTGGGAGAAAATGAGAGTCCTCTGAATCTGACACTTCTACATATATAGACAGAAAAAATGCGGTCACCATATTTGTGTGATTACTACTACTACAATGAACTCGATCTTTATAAAAGTGTGTGTGATTATAGATTTCGGAATTAGAAATCGCCATTACAAATATTTTAAAATTCAAGAAAAAAAATGTCGGTTAAAAGTTTGATTAATGTCAAACTTGACAAAAATTATTCTAATTTAGATAATAAAAATGTGACAATAATATTGTGAATTTCAAAAAGTTTTCTTTGCTATTTAAGTAATTTTCTCTTTCGAAATATCCGCTTTGCTTTATACGGAGTAAGGGAATGTTTGGAACTCATTCTGCTTCTTTTTTAAAGCAGAAGCAGAAGCAGAATCAGAATCAGTTTTCAGAAGTTGATACCCCCAGTTTCTAAAAAAACTGATTCTATGAGTAAATTAGAGCACCATAATCACTTCTTCATTTTCACCCAAACACTACAACTTCTGTTTTTACTCCCTGAAGAAGCAGAAGCAGTTTTAAAAATCGGATCCAAGCACTCCAAGAGGTCCTCGTCTACAGACATCATTTTTCCATACCATGACCCTCTACTACAAAGCCTTCTGTCGAACAGTACAGGATCTCATTATCTCTGTCTAAGGTGGCTTGACTTGTCAAAACTAGATTAAAGGGATTTAGTCCAGATTGAAATGTTTTATCTAAAATTGCTGTAAATAGTACGTAGTAATTACTTTGTAATTTTTAAAAAATTGAATAAATTTATCACTTTATTTACAGTACTATGAAAATTCTACTTGTTAAATAAATACTCCGCAAGTTTTTTTCTTACATATCGTTAATAATAAAAAGTTATGAGTAAAAATATATAGCTAAAAATTTTATAAATAAAGATATACGGAACAACATGATAATACAGAGTCCTCCGTATTAAATTAAGGAAATGTGCCGGAAATTCGTCTCACAATTCAGTGGTTGACTATATCGTGCTAACCTACATAATAATTGAATAAGTTCATTTGATTCACATAATATAAAACAGTTCCACATGTTAAGATCCACATGGTATATTGGTATCCAGTATCCACTAATCTAATCAAATGTAAATTAAAATAATAAGTACATAGTATGAAGTAGCTATACGCCTAGCTGCTGCTTGTGAGATATGGAAGGAGATTTAATTTGGCTTTCTTTTTTTGATTATCCAAGTGTTGGTGTTTGCGCTCATCTAATCTTGGAGTCTATGAACTACCCTCCAAAGCTCCTAAACAGGTAAATCCGGGTCTGATCACATTCAGTCTCATCAGTACTAGCTCCAAAGGATGATCCAGCAGTGCTTACATCACCATTCAGGTTGCGCCTCCTACCACACGAACTCGCCACCTTTATAATCATCCTCTCCTTTCTCAGCCGCTGAGCAACTCCGTGAAGATAGGAAGAATCATTGGGAGCAATACCTCCCTCCTCTCCCCTAAATGTGCCTAGCAGTATTTGAACCTGAGACCTCTCTCCTCTCCCCTAAATGTGCCTAGCGGGATTTGAACTCGAGACCCGAGACCTCCGTTAGGACACGGTAACCTCCCATCCAATGAGCTGGAATGGTTAATTTGACTTTATTAGTGTCACTATTAGTCTATTTCTAAGTCTCGCTCTCCATTCAAGAATTCAATAGTTATCTTCCCAACTGTCCATCTTGTACCCTTTTATAATCGATCGATGTAAATTCCCAGTGGAAAAACGTCAATTGGAGATGCTTCATTTGAGGCGCTTTTCTTTACAAGCGCCACAAAATAACCAAAAATCGAGGTTTTTTATTTATATAAAGTGTGCGGCGCTTTTATGTAAATAAACGCCTCTAAATGATTAAAAATGTTTTACCACTACAATTTATAGTCGTGCATGTGGCGCTTTTAAGTGCATAAGTGCCTCCAATTTGTAAAATAGAATTAATTAAATAAATAAATATATAAGAAGTGCGACTCTTCAGTTATTAAAGCGATGCGTGCGGTGCTTGTTGTTACTGAAGCGTCTGTAAATACTCCGTTACGTATGTATGAAAAATACCCCGTAAATATAATGCAAATCTGCCCTAGATCGAAATCAAACTCATAGGAAGAGGTAGTGCAGATCCGACGAAGCCCTCTCGCCGCCGCCGCGCTGTGACTCCCCGCCTTCTCCAACGTCGTGTCGTTGTTACTCACGCCTCCTCTAAGTGTCACCGTTGTTGTCCTTGTCGCTAGAAGCTCTCGGAAAATCCCTCCGACTCTAGCCAATGAAATTGACGGTATCGCGGCCCTCACTGCTATGCCGTTCTCTGTACCGCCATCACTAAAGCTTCCAACTCTTGCTACCTAGTCTAACGCGTCCAAATTATCTAGGCTAGAGTATTGTTTATCTATTTCATTTAGCCGTCATATCAGTACTGGTCAAGTGGTCTTTTTAGCTTGAGTTTTGCTTCAGTTTGACGCTGAGACAGTGAGATACGAATTCTCTTTAATTTGTCTGGGCTTCTATGTCGGCGGACATCAATAGAGGTTACTTGTTTCTTGAATTTCTGATTATCTGATTATTCTATGCTCATATGTTCTATTTAATATGAATTTCTTGAATTTGATGATCCAATTAGTCTGATTTGGTGGTTTATATGTGGTAATAGAATATGTAGTTTAGTTATTGTCAATTTTGGAGTTATGTTAATTGTTAACTTTATTATAAGAGTTCTTAATTTGGTATCACTAATCATTTACAAATAAAGTAATAATCGTAATTTGGGTGTTAATCTCAATGATGAATTACATGTAGTATGGGGTATTAATCTCAATAATCGTAATTGGGGTGTTAAATTGTTAATCTCAATGTATCAAAATACGTTTTTTCATTGCATTTTATAATACTTACTTTGTGGGTTTTGGAGCTCCACTACTCCCTTTTTAGCCGTTGATCTTGTGATGAGATAAGGAAAGGTAGAAACATATTCTTTCTTAGTTGTTTTTTACCTGCAGATTTGTTGGATTGGGAATTATCTTTTGCTGCTTTTTCTGCTTCTCGATCAACCCCTATCTTAAGTTTGCTTGATAAAGTAGCTATTAGATCATGCGTGTCATTGAGATATGGTTAAGGCTTCTGGGTGTTCAGGATCTTCCCCTTCAGAATTATGGCCATCCTCTATCAGTGTTGTTCTGACTTCCGAGTTTTCCCACTTTGTTTGTAGAGTCATCACAATGTGTTAGCTTCTGAATGTTTGAGGCGTAGTCAAGCTGAATAAGGTATTGTTTTTCTTCTACATCAAGATTTTGATTATTGTTAATCGAGGACCGAACAGTACAAGTTTTTCCAGGTTCCAGGCTTATGTTTCAACTGCAATATTATCTTCAATGATAATATCTTCTGTGGCTTCTTTAACCATAATAAGCTTGCTTGAAGAAGGTTCTAGATCGGAGGGTTGCACACTACCACCGTCAAGTACAAGTGCAGTCGACTGTGCTGCTTTTGCAGTGCCCTTGTTGGATTTAATACTCCATTTCTTAGCTGACAGATCTGTAGTTTTTGTGTGCTCTATGGCTGATTTCTTTTTAGCCTTATCTTGGGTAACGACTTTATCTTGATTCACTTTACAAGGTTACGTATAATTCTATTTTATGATATTGACTTAATTGTTATTTTATATAAATATTCAAGTTTTGAAATCAAGATCTTAAGCATATCCACAAGACAAAAATATGTTAGAAGTATATATTCCAGATTTTTTATATAATGAACATGTAAATAGCTACTATGTGTGTATTAGTTTATTTTGTTATGACAGGTATTTATGCTTTTAAAATTTAAAAAGAAATCAAAATTTGGAGGCGCTTCTCACAAAAAGCGCCGCAAACGCTCGCATTTTATTTTTAAAACAAAATAGATTGGAGGCGCTTTTTGATAAACAAGCGCTGCAAATGTTTAAAATAATCTCACATTAGAAGCGCTTTTAAGATAAGAAGTGCCGCAAATTTTCGATTTAAAAAATTAAATTAAAAAAATTCGAGACGCTTCTAAATTAAAAGCGCCTACAATCAAGCGTTTGCGGAGGAAAAATCGGAGGCGCTTAGAAGCGCCGCACGCCCCTGTTCAAAAGCGTCTCCAATCGCCGTTTTTTCACTAGTGTAATTAAACATTAACACTAGCGAGTTGGATTGGTTTCTCCCCAACAAATAAGAGTTCCTTTAGTTGATTGAACCAGCTGTTCCTGTTGAAATTTATGAATTTCTGACTGAAGTTATTGGTTGATTCTGCTGATTTATGAAAAAAAATATTTAAAATATATCATATCAATAAAATAAAGGAAAAATTATATGAAAAATGGCTAAAATGGTCATCTAGAGTAACTTCAGCCAATACAGCCAGAAAAGTAACTATGACCTTACTTTTTCTTCTTATTACACAGTTCAACGCGCAAAAAACCAAAAGTTATGTGTTTGGTTAAAAGATTGATCGATAAACCGATAAGTCGAATAACATAGTCACCAAACGGGCACTAAGTGTTTGAGCATCTAAATTCTAAATAAGAATAATAAACAATGTGGAACTTTATTTTATAGATATTTTTATCATATATGAATAATTGTTATCATCTTTAGAGCCCGTTTGGCAGCACGAAAATCGGCTGTTTTGGCTGATTCTGCTGAAATTTATGAAGTTCTGGCTGAAGTGACTGCATTGGTTGATTCTGCTGATACAAGAAAAAAATATGTTCAAAATATATTTTATTAATAAAATAAAGAAACTTCAGCCAATACAGCCAGAAAAGTAACTCCAACCTTACTTTTTCGGCTTATTACACAATTCAGCGCGCGAAAGCAAAGTTTACGTGTTTGGTAAAAACGTTGGCTGATAAGCCTGATAAGTCGAAAATAAGGATTGCCAAACGGCCTCTTAAAAGACGTTGTGAGTCACTATATATGAAAAATAACTAATTCATGGTATATGACTAAAGTAAGGAGATCGGTTTTTAATATGTGAGTAATCTACTTCTACTTAA